AGGCAGAATGAAAGTAGGGAGGGTCAAGTCATCTGCTGTATTTAATTTCAACACCTTCAGACCTGACTATCTCTGGAAGCCATATCCCTGGTCTGCCTTCTCAACATGGAGTGCAGGGTTTTTCCATTCCTCCTCGCTGGAGCTTAAATTTCTCAGTTTGTCTACCTCAAGCTTGTGTCTTCTCTGTGACTGTCTCCCATAGCCATCTCTTACGTAGTTGCTGTCAGAGGGCAACACCAAAATCCCTGGTACATAAGTGCTGTGCAGTTGTTCTGCAGCTCAGTTCAAAATTACAGGTAATTACAAGAAGTCCGTAATGCTCCTCTTTTGTGTTTTGCTGTTGCAATAGCATACCCAGAACTTTTAATACTTCAAAATATGTGTCTAATGTGAGATAAATTGCTACATTTAATGCTATCAGAGCACAGTGGGAACTAGTTGTAAAAGCCCAAAGAAGCTGAGGATTTCCCAGATCATCTGTTTAATATCAGTATTCATGGTTTCTGTAGGGAAGTCAATAAGTGGTGAATACAACTGATCCACATCATACTAGACAAAGCTCATTTCTAAAGTCATATGTCAAGAGGTCTGTCTAACAACTTTAAGTGGAAAGGGATTCTTGTAGGAGGATTCCGCAAAGGCTGTTTTTTAACTTTTACATTGAATTACATACTTTTCCTGTTTTTACAGGAAACCCTTAGAAGCAAACATCCCATTCCATTGAATTCCTTTTCCTCATAAAATCGTTCTATAGGACCAATCACTTTGTCACTGAGAATCTATTGTCAGAGGAAAAGCACTTTCAGAGAATTTTGGCTATTAATTTTCAACCACAAATTATAGAAGAAAATCTCATTTGGAATTTGACCTCTTCAACCCAAATATCCTGTCTTTTTTTTTCAGTTCTGGATATTGAACCCAAGGCCTTACACATGCTAGACAAATGCTTTAATATTTAGCTGCATCCCCAGCCCCATGATTATTTGAAAATCTGTTTGTTACCACTCCTTTATTATTCTTAGTATACAGCCTTTTGATTAAACATAAAACTGGAATTAAAGGAAGGAATTTAGGATGCATCTTACAAGTATGAGAGAAATTGAATAACCTAGGCTGGTCAAGGATAGAAACGAAGGAACTTCAACAACAGCACAAATTTACATCACTTTATCTTTGTGTTTTCAGTCTTTGAATTTATCAAGTCATATTATTTTATTTATTTTTTAATTTTTATTTTTAAAAGAGTACAAAATAGTATCAAGACAGAAAAGTTATGGACGATACAGAATTTCACTATATTATTTTAAAAACTTATCTTCTTCCTCATCTACTTGTTTGCACAACATCATCAATTAAAGCAAGGAAAGCAGGCCAACTCAGTGGAAGCACAGTTATGAGAACTGCTCCATTGTACCCAAGACCAAGACATGCAATGTAAAAAGTAAACACTATTGTACACAATGTCTAAAGAATATTTTACAAGTCACGTTTCAGGAATAATAAAAATACTATATAGTGGGAGTTCACTTCCTAGTTCTTATTGTTATTATTTTACTAATTTATAACTTCCACCAAAATAAGATTTTAAGTCTCAGCTGCACCTGGACTTTCTGAATTTTTTTCCATGTGGTGTGATTTGAAACACAGAAACCCAACCTTTAAGCAATGAAATATTTGTCTGTTATGGGATTCTTTGCTCATTCCTAATGTCAAAATATACATCTCTCTCTAGAAATAGGCTTCACCTGAAGGGGGCTGAAGTTTACACTGTTAATCAGAGTCAAGGAAGATGGTTAGATTTCCTTAATAACTGGGGTCGAACTAAGAGCTACTGATGCATTCATTTTCAATAGATGGCCTCAAATACTACCTTTATTTTAGCCAGAAGATGATATTGATGTTTCACACTGACATCTTTTTAGTGTCTCCTTATTAAATATTTAAAAAATCTTGTTACTGTTTCATCTCACATCATCTTGTTGCCACGGCAATACTATTCCTTATTAAATGACTATGAATTCAGTGTCATCTGGATTACAATTTTCACACTAAATCTGAATATTTCAACATTAGGCCATAGGGTTCTCTATGAATTCTCTCCTAGAAGGAAAAGAAGAAAAAAAGGCCATCCTATTATTATCATTACTTCTGCAGAAAAACATTCAAGTACTGCAAGTTCTCAATTTTGTAGTCATGGATACGAGCTCGCCAAAATTTTAGTTTTACCTAAAAGCCCAAACATTGTTTTTGGTGATGAATATTGTCAGTTGTTTCCTTGAGAATCCGCTTAATTTATTTCTAAGAAAATGTCTGCTGATTATCCATGTCTGAACAACTGTCACACACTTGCCAGTCATTCTTTAAGAAAAAATAGTGTTGCAAGAAAATAATGGCTAGGGGCCGGGGAGATGGCTCAGTGGAATAAGCACTTCCCTGGCAAGTGCAAGGGCCTGAGTTCAATCCCCGGTTCCACCAAAAGAAAATAATGGTTAATTCAGTGCACAACTCAAATAGATGTGCAAATATTTTCCTTTGAAACAATCGTTGTCCTAAGATATGCAATGCAAGTTCTTTGTGCATACTTTCTTGTGATATTTCATCACACAGAATATTAAAAAGATTGGGCTGGTGAGATGGCTCAGTTGTCTAGAGCACCTACTTAAAACAAGCTAAGCTAAGCAAAAGCACAGACCACGGTTCAATCCCCAGCACCACATGCCAGCCAGCCCTGCCCCCTGGTGGACTGAGCTGGCCACACACACACACACACACACACACACACACACAAAATAAATAAATAAATGAATGAATAAATAAATTAAAAAAAAAAGAATATTAAAAAGATGTTAACTGAAGCATTAATATATAATAAAATTTAAAACATATTTTGAATAAAAGCTTTATTAAACATTTACAAGTGAAACTGGATTTTAAAAAGGTGAGCCTATTACTGTAAAAAATGCAGTCACTGGGGCTGAGGAAATATCTAGGCAGTCTAAGAGCCTGCCTAGACCAGTACAAGGACCTGGGTTCGAACCCCATGCCACGTGCTGCACTGGCCCTGCCCCAGGCACATTGAGCTGGCCACTAAGACCAGGCATGGTGGCACTCAACTGTAATACTTGCACTGGGGAGGCTGAGACAAGAGAATCATTACAAGTCCAAGCTGCGTCGTGAGACCCTGTGCTAAAAAAAAAAAGAACAAAAAATTACACTCATTGCTAATATAGTTTGTGAGCTCTACCTTCATCCACGCTGAGACACCAGCAGGTTTGCTCACCATTGATTTCGCACCATCAGTGTAAGTATCAACTTTGTAAAACCAGAGAGTGACATAAATGATATGTTAATGTTGTTCTCAAAGCAGTTTTGACATTAAATTTTAGGGACCTGCAGTAGTACATGGGCTACATATTGAGAACGATTAATACACAATATGGCCCCAACTTTATTTAATACATAGAGATGTGCATAATAACCTGAAACAGTTTCCAACCATTTTCATATTGTGTGAATATGTTTGACAGATCCCCTAGGGTCTTATATGTTGTAAATACCATTTTTGACAATACATGAGTATTTAAAAGTTTTTAGACACATTTTTAATTGAAAAATAATTAATGCGTAGAAGATGGGAGCACATGATGTTTTCATACATGTAAATATCAATCAATGGTTAAAAGGAACTATTAAAATATGGAGTACTGGGGCCAGGGAGATGGCTCAGTAGGATAAGCGCTTGACTGGCAAACGCAAGGATCTCAGTTCAATCCCTGGTTCCACCAAAAAAAAAAAAAAATGGAGTACTTCACATAACATTTTTCATGGTTAGAACACTTAAAATCTAGGTTTTTTTCTTTTTTCCTTTTTATTAATTTTATTGAGAAACAAATAGCAATGAGACAGTTTTTATGAACAACCACTATGAAAATCTAAGCTTTTAAAAAAGAATATTACCCAATTGTTTTCCAGGTAAGTTAGAAATGTGTAATGCCAATATATTCCTTTTTTTAATATTCCCCATCTGAGGAATACCTATTTCTAGCCTGTCATAGCCTACCCCAAACTTACACAAAATGATCTTGTGAAGGTTTCCAGAATAGCAGACTGGGTTTGGTAAAATCTCTGGGAGCCTTCTAATTCTTTTCATTGCCTCAGTGTACCAGGGAGTTGAAGAAGGAACATATAGTATACCGGCTCTTGGTGAAATCAGAAGTAGGAGGTGAAGACTCCAATAAAACCCTCACCATTGATCCTTTTCCAGGAGAGGTCTGATCTAGACCTTTAGTCCTAGGAATCCAACCACCATCTGAGCCAAGAGTCATTTTTTTTGGGGGGGGCACACTGATTTTTCTCAGTCCAAATTGGAACTCCTTTATGGTTATGCAGTCCTCACAGTTGCCCAAGAGGACTCATGCCTCTCAGGATCTGCACCAGATCATATCATCTTCTCTCTTTGTGGATTCCTAACCAGGTGTAGAGGGGAAAATCTTGGTCTGTTTTTGCTTTTCTAAGTTGCTAATAACCACTATACCTGAACAGTTCCTTTACTTCCCACCACTTCCATTCTTTACCACTCACCTTATGCCAACCCCATCCATCTCAAAATTATCAGTGATCCAGAATATGTCACAATACCTTTCAAACATGTCAACTTAGAATTAAAAATCTTGCTGAAAATTCTCCACCTTCAGTTATCACCCTTACCTGTCCTCATGTCTCTTCCCACAGCTTCCTATTTTCCACTTTTATACCTTTCTTTCAATCATTTCCCCTGCTGGACTGCCCTTCAGGCTCATCTTAAATATGCCCTTCCCCACTGAAGAAAGTTATGTTAGCAAGCTCTGCATCATTTAGCCACATAGCAACTATTTCACAAAGAGTGGGTACGTAGTAGCAATTTTTTTGTATTTATGTTCCTTATCTCTTCAGTTAGATTTTAAGCTCAAGAATAAGAACAAATTTTTAAAATTTGAAACATTCAACTTTATTGATGATACATGAATGAAGCCTTTGGTGGATAAATTCAAGTCAAAACAAGTAATAGCAGAGTAGGCCATTTATAATGGACAGGTATGCTGTCAACTCACAGAGGAACCAGTAAAAATATTCCGCCCAAGCAGCATGATTATACTCACAATATGTTTTCATTACAAGAGGACTATTTGGTATTCATAATATGATTTAACTTAAAGCTGGTGACTGTCACAGATAACATCACTTTGGCAGATACATTTTTTAAAACTGGCAGCTGAAAGGATCCCTTTATCAAATAAGCAAATAAAAATGCAGTAGCATTAAATTTGCAGTACTTCTAGGCCATGAAACTAAGAAATTTAAGCTTTTGAAAGCATACAGCAATCAGAATTTGTTCACTAATTTTATAACTTTCACTTTCACCAAGAGATCATGATGATTTGCCAAAGCTCGAATTTTCTTAACACACACTCCAGATGTAGTGCATAAGTAAAAAAGGGAACCTTTGTTGAATTCTCTGTAGTTGAATACTTCTGCTCTGAGATTGTCATAAATAATCTCAAACAGTGTAAGTGCATTAATAAGAATTTCTGATTCTACATAAGAGTTATACAAGGAACTAAATGATGATGGCACTTGGGTACTGAGAAGTTTCTTTAGCATAGCTGGATTTTCAGCAAAGTTGGAAAGTATTTTCAAAATCTCAACCTTGATTTTTCCACCTCCCTGAGATAACAAACGGAAAAAGTTTGCAATGGAATTGACAAGCAGGTGTTGGTAGTCATTAGTGATTGTCATGTTTGTTAAAAATTTTAGTCCAACTACCTGTACTGCAGAGTTCAGGTTAGAGGCCATGATATCATCCATCACTTTATTCATGTATACCTGAAGCCGGCCCTGGTTTTCATAATTTTCACTGAGATTATTCATGGCCATCAAGGCTTTTTCCTTAATATGAGGATCAGTTTTGTTGATCATGTTTGCAATAATTGGGAGGCCTCCCAATTTACGAATTGTCTCTTGATTGCATGAATAATTGGCATTGTTGCTCAGAGTGAGCAAAGCCACCTGTTGGATAAAAGGATCATCTGATTTTTGAAGCAAAGCAAGGACTTTCCTGAGATCTCGCACACCCAGAATCTCATCGATTTCATAAGGGAAGGGGCGCTTTTGCATGGGAACTGTTTTCTTCCCTCTCCCTCTGCACTGTGTCTCAGGTTCAGAGTCTGAATCTGACTCTGTGTCAGTCCACCCAGACTCTTCTTCCTCAGAATCAGGGATCTCTGCTAAGAAAGCATGTCCTCCATTAGCAGAGGCTGCTGCAGCTGCTGCAGCTCCATCACCAGGGCGGAAGCCCATCCCCAATTCATCTACTTCAGCCCTACTTTTCTTGCTCTTGCCCTTGCCTCCAGTCCGGGACCTGGTTCCACCTTTGGCCCCACCTTTAGGTACAGCTCCAGTGGCTGACCCAGCCTTAGGTATAGCCCCAGTGTGAGCTCCAGGGGTTGCCTTCTTGGAAGCTCCTGTTGTTCTAGTAGACCCTGAAGTCCCAGGAACCTCTGCAGCCCTGGCAGTTATTACTGCCCCAGCAGGTGCTGTGGACACAGGAGCCCCTATTGCCTCTCCAAGTATTGTCATTCCAGAACCCTCTGCCACCTCAATGGGTGCTGATATTCCAGGAACCTCTACTGTCTCTGTGGCTGCTGTTGCCTTGGTAAACAATGCTGTCCCCTGAGGCAACCCTAGTGCCCTGGGAGGCATTGCTGCTCTAGAAGACATTGCTACCCCTGGTGTTATCATTGCCCTGAGAGGCTCTGCTGTGCTGGGAGCTTCTGCCACTTTGGGAATCCCTGCCATTGAGCAACCCTCTATAGCTTTGGGAGCTTCTGCCATACCTAGAGGTTGTGCCATTGCAGAGGTCACTGTAGCCCGTACTTCTGCTTCAGTCTTAGGACCAATCTCTGTCCCTTCTATCTTCTGAGCCAGACTTCCTGCCTCACTCTGAGCATCAGTACTAGATGAAGCTCGGACAACTGCCTCACCACCAGCAGTATCACAAGCAGAAGCTTCATTCTGGGCCTTGTCTGTCCTGGCACAGATGGTGGTTGGTGGACTAAATCTCGGTCCAAGGTCAATTGTGAACCCAGCCCTGAGCCCCGCTCTAGCCCTGGTTCCAGTCCCGGCCACAGCCCGGTTCTTGGGCTTCGCCAGTTTCCTCTTCTTCTGGTCTCTTCCCCTGGTGTATTTGTAGACACAATACCAGGCACCAGCTCCGATCACTATCCCCGCCGCTACGCAACCAGCATCCCGAACACGGCTCATTGTGTAGTTGGGGTGATTCTCTGATGCAAGGTGTAGAGCTGCCTTGCTGAGCCAGATGAATGTATGTCAAGGTGAGGTTTCAGGCTTGCAAATTCTGCCAAACTTCAAACAGAGTGGGACCTAGGAGTAAATGTTAGAAATCAGGCATAGGGTTGGCTCACTTTGTGACGAACCAGGCTTACTTAGAGGAGAATTTGGGGACCCAGTGTCTAGTTAATGGGCTAACACCCAGAAACAGGTACATGGAACTCCATTTGCTCATTTAGAGACTTAGAGACTTAATAGACCGGGTTATATCTGCATTCCCAGCTTACACTCTCACGTGGTAAAATGTATAATTTTGTCTCCTAAATGGGGGAGATTTGAGGCAGTATGGAAAGCTGGGAAATCTTCTACTCACTTCTCATGTCCTTCCACCATATTTACCTACCCAAAGGTCCCTAGATGGTGCTTGTGTACATACGAACTCCTGGGTCAGAATCAGTTTGCTCTTTTCCACAGGACTTGTCAGTTGTACAGACCTGAAGACGGATCATAGAAAGGATGTTTTTGAGCTGTCAGCAAATGGATTCTGGTTTGTTTCCTTATTTGCCCTGTTAGAGTTCAAAAGTTGCTCCCTCTCACGGTTTCTCTTTTCTCCCTATTCTCAACTTCTCATTCTATTAACTAAGAAGCTATATGCTACATCTTTTTCCCTGCACCAAAAAAGACAGGCCACAGCAAGAGAAGGAAGATGTGGGAGGAGACGCCTCTGGTCCTTCACTCTGCTCTTACTTCTGCCACAACCACACCAGGACTCCGAGGCCAGCAAGACACTTTCCAACTTCAACACTGACCTCCAAAGATTCAGGGCTGCTTCTTCTCCCTTCGCTTCAGTTCTGGCTTCGTGCTAATGACAGACTGAAGGACAGAAGAACAGACTGCAGATCTTGGAGACTGAGAGCTTAGTAGCTAGGGCATCATTTAGGACAAGCATCTCAGCACTTGTCTTTCAGTGTCCACACAACCGTGTCAAAGGAGACATACCTCCCCGTGGATTCTGTTCTCACTCCCCCTGTGGCACTGGAGTCCTCCCTCTAGTGCAGGTCCCCCAGTCCCTCTTTCCACTTGGCCCCGCCCCCGCCGCCATTTCTCCCGGATACACTGCCCCACCCCTTCTCCTGCACTGAAGGAAGGGCAGGGTGTGAGGCTAGCGTGCCCAGCAAGCAGGATGGGACACAGCAGGAGGTGTTCTTGACCTGTAACTTAGAGTCCCCTTCCATGGTCAACCGTTTTCCACTCTCCAGCCGCCACACCTGGCACTGGCCTGCATATCATGGACCTCAATACCTTGTTTTCCCAGTTTTAGGGTCGTGTTTTTCCAGTTTCTGTACTCTGGGCTCCACCTCCCACTCCCCACTCAGATCCTCTGATAACCACCATTTGTCTCTTGCATACCCGAATTCTTTTTCCAGGACAGAAAAAGACCGGGATGAAGGACTGGGCGCATCGGAGGTGTCTGCAACCCAGGCTGGGAATTAACATGGTGGTTTATTACTAGATTCTGTCAGCGTTCCCTCTCTTGTGAAGCCTGGGCAGCGTCAAATAAGCCATGTCTCCCGTAAAGACTGGCACACCCATTTCCCAGCCCCTCCAATGACAGAGGGCATGTGTGTGGGAGTGCAAGGGCGATGGTGGGGAAGTGTGTGCAAAGCGAGGGTGGGAGAACAGGTCCGGATTGTTGCGAAATTCCATGCCCCTTCGATCCTGGTTCCAGTCTCCCAGTGGCCTCATATGCACTGCCACGTTTATTTCTCTTCCCTCCTCTCAAAGCAGGACGAGGGGAGTGCGGCCCT